CTATGAAAAATAAAAAGATTTAAGTCTCAGAAATAGTACATTTTACAACATATTATCTACACCATCCACTTTCAAGATTTTCATATGTTTATAGATCTACTAGATTTTAACCATTTTTTAAATTTAAAATTTTATAATTAGATATAAAAATAAATTTTGAGATAATCCTAATAACATTTTACATCAAAATTCTATACCATGATAAAATTTGAAGGGCACCGTACCTCTACACCGACGGAGACGTCCGTATGCCAACTGCACCCCTTATTTAATTTGTTTCCCTCTCTCTCTTAATAATATTCTTGTAATCATATACTCATAATATCCTCTTTGTTCCCTTATAAGGATGCTATTATTGTTCTCACAATAACAAGTAATAAATTATGCCATCATTACAACATTATATTATGTAAATTCCAATCTATGTTCATAATATTTTGTGTGCATATTACATGCACTGCTTAAAAATTTTATCATTGTAACTTTTAAAACTGCTCCAAATATGCTACTCGTATTTGCTCCAAACATCACTGTAACTTTGAAAATCGCTCCAAATATCACTGTAACTTTTAAAACTGCTCCAAATATACTACTCGCAGTGTCTCAAAGGCGCTAGGCGGCACCTATGCGGTCGGGGGGGTCCAGGCAGCTCAGGGCCTAGAAGGGCGCCAAGAACCTGGGTGGCCCACTAGAAAAATAATTTTTTTTGGGTTTCTCCCCCTAGAATAGCCTCTAACGGGTTTTAAGTTTCAAATGGACCTAAAACCCACAATTTTGCCCATTTAATATTAAAAAAAGACCCAAAAATACCCTCAAAGAGCCGCATTTCTGCCCCTGGGTGGGTCGCAAGCCCTGGTCAGCTGCCTAGGCAAGTTCAGGCGGGCGCCCAGGGATATCCGCCTAGGCGCTAGGCGGATCGCTTTTTGAAACAATGACTACTCGTATTTGCACTGCTTGAAACTTTTAAAACTGTAACTGGTTCAATTATACTAATCGTAATATTAAAATTTTGCTATTGTAACTGCTTATATATATTGTAACTGCTTAAATATATTGTAAAGGTTATGCATTGTTCAAAATAATAATATTTGCACTAATTAAAATATTGAAAAATAATTAAGAGTGACATATAGGTAAGTGACCTCATTCTCCTGAGAAATAATCCTTTTATAGTAAAATTGGTATATTTTTATCTATTGCTAGAAATTTTATATACTGGAAATTATCATAAATAAATTTATTATCCCTGTCTATTGTTCAGAATTTTAGAAACCAGAAATTATTAGAAATAAAATTATTATCATTGTTAATTGTTAGGAATTTTAAATACCGTAAATTATTAGAAATAAATGTATTACTCATGTCCATGGTTGAGAATTTGAGATAATGTAAATTATTAGAAATAAACTTGATATTTCTCCATATAATTGTAAGATTTCTGAACAATAAGTTTTACGCTTAAATGTTGGGTATTGTAAGTGGCTTCATTTTCTTGATATTTCTAGAATATTCTCAAAAATAATTCTGCATCTAATGGTAACAGTTCTGGTACTGTAAGTTTTACGTATTTCAGTATTTATTTTTGACATACAGTAAGTGTTATGTGTGAGTGTTATGCGCTAGTGTTACGCGCAATTGTGATGCGCAATCGTTATGCATAATTGTTAGGTGCAAGTGTGATGCGCAATTATTATGTGCAAGTGTTATGTGCAAGTGATTAAAGGATATTTTGAAAATACAATATTAATGTTTCCTGACATCTATTAATTGATATATAACCTGCAATTGACATAATGATGTCTTTGATTTATATGCATAATAATACAATATAGTGATGCCACTCGTGACTATATGTGTAGCATAGACGTGGTTATGTTTCTTGTGATTACATAAGAGACCTGCTATATATGTACATGGCAACATGCTTTTGATGAGATATATGTGCATAGCAACATGCTTCTGATGAGATATGTGTGTATGGTAACATGCTTTTGATAAGATATGAGTGCATGGAAACATGCCCCTATGATGATATGATGCGATATTGTGCTGGCAGCTGTGATTTTCCCTAACTCTCTATGATAGGAGGAGAGTTAGGAGTATGTGTGTTTGGTGGGTCGCACCCCCCAAACTTTATGTGATGACACTACTCATTAGGACCCCTTTGGTAGTGTAACGCTCTCTCGCCAGAAGGGCACATGAAAGGGTCGTGTCTTGCAAGGCCCCTAACTATCAAAAGACCCAAAACGCGCTGGGGACTGTGCGCGTGTGTGAAGCACTACGCAACGGATTTTCCCGTTGGTGGTGCTTCTTCCTGTGGGATAGTAGAAGTTCTAACCTTGGATCCAAGGCCTGAAACCCGAGGTTAGTGCTTCTATTACAAGATTTTTATTGTCGTGAATGCACGTTGATTTGATTTTTGTTGTTGTGAATGCGTGTTGATCATGCCTGATGCTCAATACAGTAATATTTTAAAACTACTCCAATTAGATTATAATGGATCCTAATAGGAATTACGTGCATTTAGTTATGTATCATACCTATTTTATTTGTTCAATAGGAACACATGCCATGTGTGAGATTAGAAATGAGTTTATTAATGGCATGCATTAGAATAAAATCGATACTCTGAAATTCTGCTTCAAGTGAATTGTTTTAAGAAATATTTGCAGGTCTAGCCATGATTTGTAACGATACAGCTGGTCACTTACTGAGTAGCCATACTCATCAAGCTATTATGAAATTTTTCAGAGTAGTCACAGCAGTATTGTTCATATGTACAGCAGGAGTGGCTTGGAAGGAGTTTATAGTCATGAATAAATTTGTTTTTCTTTTTCTTTTTGTAACTTTTGTACTACCAAGGTTGTATACATATGTTATGTATTTTGTACACAAAAAACTTTTGAATGGAACCGTTTGTTTTGAGGCCATATATAGTAACAAAATTTTGAATTTGTTTTATTTTAAATTTTTGTTTTAGGATAGACTGTCACATTCAGGAAGTTTGGCAGTATGACCTGGGATGTGAAATTAAGATACTACCAGATTCCATCTGATTCTTTTGTTGATTAAGCATCTAAAAATGTGGAGATGAAACCGTAGACTTCATCACGTCAGAAGTCCCTATGTTGGACCAAAAAATTTATCTTCACAAACTCATGCAATGGGAAGGAGAAGAAAGAGAAAAAGGGGAGAAAAACAAAGAGAGCACAAGGATAGAACTATAAAGTCACAAACACCACCAAGAGAGGAGCAAAAACAATCAGATACTTACATGGCGTTCAATCCTGGTATTGGCATGTCCATCTTGAGCATAGAAAGCCAAAATCAAGTTCCCCAGAAATGCTCCTACATCAAATCCCATGGGTCCATAAAATGCAAATTCTGGATCGAAAACTTGAGTAGAATTAGCAGTCACCATCACAGAACCAGTGTGAAGATCACCATGTATTAACGCCTGAGCTCTCTCACAAAACCTGTTGAAAAATGTGAAACTATAGGAACAGAATACCTCGAGGAACAAGGGGAAACAGGGAGTATATTACTCATTCATAATTTATGCAATAAGATACAGTAGTTAGTAACAGTACATCGATTTTAATTCTGCAATTTCCTGTTTCAATTGATAGTCCTCTCGAATAGCTTCGGCATCCCGATCCAAGTAGGGACAGGTCCAATGATTATACTTGGCTATCTTATATGGGTCAGAAAAGACAACTTGCTCAGTGAGTCTGCACATCTCTACATTTCCGCAAAAATCAGCAACTGTAGTTTTGCGGACAATACTACATCAGAACAAATGTAAAAGAAAACAAGACAAAACAACTTGAAGAGGATATAAAGGAATACCGAGAATGGGTAGACTATGGGCAAGAGAAAGCATGAATAACTAAGTAACATTTAAAAGCAGCTATAAGTCACATAAGCCAAATATGATGAACTCACTTTACAGCGCAGAAACTAAAGTGAGGAATGAACATCTAAAAGAACATTTCTATAGCATTAATTATTACATATCAGTTCTTGGAAATCTCCCCTTTCAAGTTCTTGAATTGCTCATTCTCTATTGAAATAACAACAATTTGAATTGCTGAAAATAGCATATAATATACCCATAAAGAAACAGTAGGGACACAGAAAGATTATGTAATGTGTTGCCCCTTAGGAAACCCCAGTTTCTACCCGTGCTGACTTAGGATTCTTTTTTTCTTTTTTGTTTTTGAGGGTTTTCTTCATATGCTGACTTAGGATTCTCAAACATCTCTTTGCCATTGAACATTGGACTATGAATCATGGATAAGAAGCAATTCCACCAGAATATATTTATTAAAAAAAAAAAAAGCAACAGAAAGTGAGCTCAGCCAAGACTATGCTACAAAATCTTCCAAAGAAAACGCTATAAACTGATGCCCGGGTTTTCATCAAATTACTTTGAATGGGCAAATCAACCATTTGTCCTTTGGGATCCGACATTGGGATAGATGCTTGAAGATCTGGGGGATAGGGATCATGACACACACAACATGAGTTAAAGGGATCGTAATCCCAATATAAAGGGAGCATGATCCAAATTTGTTGAGTATCGAACAAGAAAGTATATGGATCAAAGTCCATTGAATAATATGATTACCATTTTTTCTAAATTCAAAAACCAAAGTATCATTAATTACAAACAATCATCTTTTTAATATATTTTGAATTATTATCATTGGAGTGGATATCAGAAGTGAGTAGTACAATTAAATGTTGGGTTTGCAAACTTTAAAGCCCATGAGAACATGTAAATGTAAAAATTATAGTGGATTATACACTTCAAGTGGGAGTACGTGTCTTAGTTGACTGACCTAAGGTTAGGCGATTTATGGCCCTAGGGTCATATATCCAAAACCCTTTCTCTTGGGCATAGGCACTTAAGTTAAGGGTTTCAAGAAGGACATCCCTCGTTTAGGTTGAAGAGATGCCAAGGGATAGTTTGTAGGCCAATAGAGCTTCATGGGCTCCTGTGTACGGTTGTATGCCTGTGAGAGTGAGGGCTAAATTGAAACTAAAGAAATTGATCCGAACATTGACAGATTGATTATCACTTCGTGTTGGAGAGGATTGAATCCGAAAAAAACAATGATGATAGGCACAAAAGATCAAATAGCAGAAATACCAACAAAAGGTTATCAAACGAATGACATCAATATTTGAAGGACAAGGTGTACATGTTAAAATTTGATGTAAATTTGAGAGGAAGTACTCATTATAATTGGTCAAGGGTATGTTGATAATTTTGTGTATTGATGCAACTCATTCTTGTATTTGCAGTTCATGCTCATTATAAAGGACAAATATATAATTTTTGGATTTATTTGTACCCTAATCTAACCCTCAATTAATAGGGGATAGAAACAATATGAATATATATCTTTGAGTGCAGCCCCTCAATCAAGAGTGAATTGGGGGTCAAGACACTCTACTTTGGCTTCCTCTCTATCCATGTCTACCTACACCACAACTTGTTCTTCCTGCTCAAATATTCAAGGTGATATTTTATCATCCCTCTCTCTAATTCCTTTGGATGTAGTAAAGTGTAAACTTGTAAATAAAGCAGCTTTATATACATTTGGAGGCCGAAAAGTGAGAAATTGCAAATAAAGCATATTAATGGAAATCAGCTCTCGTGTATCACTATCATTTATCCCATGTGCCTCATCATAATATCTTTTTCATGTATTTCGGGAGATGATTGTTACATAAACAAACCTTGAAAGGACCCTAAAAATATTACTTATGAATTACAAATATATTTAATTAATAAACAGCTATTTCTTTATAACCCATTTTTTGTGCACACATTTTACTATATTTTGTTCGATGATTGGACAACGTTTTAATATAATTTTGGTTTTTGATTTTTATGCATTGATTAAATAATTGTGGAGCCTCTAGATTGTGACAATCCCTCACTCTCGCTTCCACACCCCAATTCCAAAACCTATGATTTGTAGTTACTTAAGATGTATTTGAGATCCTAGATCTATGGAAAACCAACACCATAAACTTTTCTGTATGTATTAGAGGTCGAAAGGGATAAAATATATTGTATCATAGTAGAAAGATAAATATACTGTAAATCATATTAGAAGGGATAAAATGTCCTATATTGATGATATTTCTATGGGTCCAATCTATAAAAAAGTTAAAAAAAGTACAAGATATTAAGAAATCTAAGAGAAGTAGCTTGTAATGCTCTATGGATTCAATTAAAATAAAAAAATTAAATTTATTATACTCTTAACAAAAATATGGGTGCAATACCGTGGACATTTTAATATTTTGATACAACTCCATTTGAGTATTAAATATTAGGAGATTGTCTTCATTACAACCTATAATAATTTATTCAAAATAAAGTTTCCTGAAAAATATAAATGACTAGAGAGTCTAGAACAGATTATGCAATCTTGTATCTTCTGCCAGAGTGAAATGATGTCTAGAAGAGCAGGACCAAACTATCCTAAAGTTGAATACATGGGAAACCACGGTTCAATATATTTAAATTGAAACCTTTGATCAACAGCAACTCAATACATTTGCAGTAATCCATACGAGATTGATGGAAGATAAGAAATTGCCATAACCCATTACTAAAAGAAGCTAATGTAAAAATAACGGAATTCCCAAACATTAAAAGAGAACGCAAGCAAAAAACAAAAGATAAGCAATTCCAACCTGCAGATTTGTGATCAGTTGTAGACAGATACAAAAGCGATGTGTAGAATAGAGTTCTTGCCATATAAGTAGACATGTGCTCAGCAAGCAATGGATATTCAACTCCAACTACTAATCCTTTTCGTAGAATAATATGTGGAGGTTTGAGATAACGCATGGCAATCAAAGCCATGGGCCTATCAAAATGATAGACTTCTGGAACATGCTCAGGACATAATTGACCATGTTTCATTAAGGTGGTTGCCTCAAAATATGCCCGTTCCTTTGTCATTGGCCATGACTCCCCTATGCAACGAATGTATGGAAGAGCCTGTTTTGTCAATGCACTTTGAAGTTGAGAATAATCATCATGGCTTACTACAAAAAATAGAAAAATGCAAATAGGACAATAACTCCAGCATTAACAAGGGGAAAAGGTTGAACATATGTAGCATGATTTTTTATAGAACCCGTCATGAAGATTTCAGAACAGGTTACATAAGTGTTACCAAAAGATTATCCAAAAGAATTGAAAACCGAGAAATTGATAAATATGCCAAAAGAGAAGAAGCATACAAGTCGAGATACTTGTGAGTGTGCATACAGCATAGCAATGAATATATGGCTGCCCATACATGAAGTATGCAATTTAGGTAATTCCATTACAATTAACAAATAAATATGTCCAATCCATAACTTCCTGCATCCATTTCAAAAGACATTCGCACTCTTTCTTATCTTTCTTTTTTGATAGATTCAAGATAAATATGCTAAAACAGAAGAAACATACAAGTTAAGATACAGGTGATTGTGCATACAACATAGCAATGCATATATGGGTGCCCATACATGAAGTATGCAATTTAGGTAATTCTGTCACAATTAACAAAGAATTACTTCCTATCCACAACTTCCTGCATCCATTTCACAAGACATTTGCGCTCTTTTTTACCCCTTTTCTTTTTTGATAGATTCAACTATGTATTAATGTCTTGCAAGGATTCATATGGCTGGGATAAGCAACAGCTATCCAAACAAGGGCAAAGCCTGCAACAAAATTTATACAATGAACTGCACAAACTGTCCAGTTCAGAACTAAGACCTGATTACATTGAAACCAATGCTGGCTGCACCGTCATTTGTAAATACATCGGCGACCATGTTTGCCTCATGCCACACATACTTAAAAAGATTTGTAAAATGCTGCAAATCTCAAAAACTTGGTCAAACAGTTGTTCTATGTGATGAAGAGGGAATCTTTTAAGGCCCCCTGATAACGCTCATAAAATAACGTCCCTGTTGCAGGAAGGAGTCCAAGATGATCACGCAATTTAAGGCCTTCTAACAAAGTGGTAGCGTCAGCCTTTGGGGTGTTTGCCATGCCAATGGATCCCGACACAGATGGAAAATGCTTGGGTGCATAAAATCTAACTATCCAACTAATGCCCACTAGAATATGGTTTCGAGGGAACAACCATCAAAATTAAGCTTGATTGGAGAACAAACAATTGGATCATGACATCTCCATAAGTCAGGTATTTAGGTCACGACCCAAGTTTAATGTAAAGCCTAATGTCGATCAGCCAAAGAATTATTTTCAGTTTCTTGCCCAAAACGAGGCAGGGTGACAGTGACTTTAATCCTGTCGCTTGTAGAGCCCAAGGGTCTTAGCTTGCACTCAACCATATTGATGCCATTCTCATGCATATATCTAGGAAAACTAGTAACAAAATGGTAAAACCACATCACAAAATCAGTGCTAAATTAACTAATATATCAACAATGTGGTTACTTTTCAAAACTCATATCACTTAGGTACCTCCTCAAGTATTAAATAACAAAGTACCCAAACTGGCCAGATTCCAAGTTTGAAACCTTGACCAAACAATGTTTCAAAAAGCGCTAGGCGGCACCTAGGCGGTCGGGGGGCTCCAAGCCCCCCAACGCCTAGGCGGGCACCCAGGCAGGTGCTCAGAACCTGGCGGCATAGTAGAATTTTTCTTTTTTTGGGTTTTCTCTCTATAAAATAGCCTCTAATGGGTTTTAGGTTTCAAATGAACCTAAAACCCATAATTTTTCCCCTTTAGTATTAAAAAAATGATCCAAAAATACCTTCAAGGAGCCGCATTTCCACCCTTGGGTGGGATGCAGGCCCTGAGCAGCCACCTAGGTGGGTTCAAACGGGCGCCTAGGCGGGTTCCCGGGCACCCAGGGATGCCTAGTTTGGCCGCCTAGGCCTCGGCAATGTGCCCAAGCCTTTTGGACCGCCTAGGCGCTGGGCGGTCCGCTTTTTAAAACTATGTGACCAAATGAAGCCATTTTGGTAATTTGGACACTTAAGTTACTTGAGCAAAATGGCCTAAATATCATGGCTTGTCCAAGCCAAACCCTAAACTTTTTGTTTAATTTCCAAAATTGTGTTGAAGTTTCAAACCCGGAACAAATATGGGGGTATAGCACGTTCAGTTCAAGTAACTTAAGTGGAGCCAAATTACTAAAAGGTCACAATTGTTCCAAGTTGCAAACCAAATTCAACATTTTTTAATGAAAATAATGAAAGTGGACGACGTGAACTAACACAGTATATAAAGTTTAAAATTTCCTTTCGCGATACTGGCTTGACCACTTACATATGTCCAAGAATTACAATAACTCATATAAATAAGCAAAAATAAATTGGATTCTTACTTCAAAACTTCTTCATTACATAAGTAAAATTACATTAAAGGAGATTGGGAACAAGAAAGCATAAAACAAGATATGTGCCTAAATATTACCTATAATGGACTTTGTACACCCCCACACCAGGTCTCCTCCAACAGCCACCTAAGTCTACTTTCCCTCATCTTATGGCCTATCATTGTTTAAAAAAACGGTCTGCCCGGCGCCTAGGCGCCCGCCTAGGCGATTTTTAACAAAAAAACGCATGCCTCATGAAAAGGCACCCGAAACGGGCATTTTTTCTTGGGTAGGCGCCTAGTGAAGTCAAGCGGAAATTGCTTTTTAAATTCGTCCAAAAGGGCCGAATGGGTCATTTTGACCCCCAAGTTTCAATGTTTCAAAAAGCGCTAGGTGGGTACAAGGCTGCCTGGGGGGTCCAGGCCACCCAGCACCTAGGCGGGCCCAACGCCTTGGCAGGCGCCCAGAACCTGGGTGGCCAGTCAAATCCAAAAAGGATGCCCATTTGAAAGAAAAAAGGATATATAGTATAAAAAATAAAAATTAGGTATTTCGGGCACTTACTTTGAGTTTCATTGCTCAATCTTAAAACTTCTACCTCAAAGATGCTTCAAATGACTCAAAATCTTCTAAAACCCCCCAATAAATTTATAAAACATCAAAAATTAAATCTAATATCAATGGGTGATATTTTGATCAATTTTTGTCAACTTTGAGATTGAACCTAAAGAAAATCACCAAAATCTAGTTTTTTGGAGGATTTCTCTCTCTAAAATGGGCTCCAATAAGTTTTAAGTTTCAAATGAACTTAAAACCATCATTCTAACCCTTTATATTTAAAAAAAAAATCAATACCAAAAAACAAAAAATTTCTGCCTCTAGGTGGAGTGCCCGCCTAGGCGGGGCGCAAGCCCTGGGCGGCCGCCCTGCACTGGGTGCTAGGCGCCTGCCTAAGCTGGTTCCATACCGCCTAGGAGGTGGCCACCCAGGACTGCTGCCCAGATTGGCCGCTTAGGCCTGGCGATGCGCCCGGGCCTTCTGGACCGCCTAGGCGGTCTGCTTTTTGAATCACTACCAAATTTGTATAAAAAAGTTATGGTTTATTTTTGAACCCCTAAGTAAAACGTATTTTGCGAAATGGAATAAATTACAAAAATTGACACAAATATTTGCATATATGTACATTAGGATAGCAAATATTTTTAAAAATGCTATGATTTTCCACTACAGGGCTAAAAATGGATGATTTTCCACTACAAGGCGCACGAGGATCTGGGCACCCACCTAGGCGCAAGCCACACCTAACTCTGCTTTCTTTTGCCAATCTGAGCCTATTATTTTATGGGTATTCAATCCTATTCCTGCAGCAAACCTTTAGAGTGACATTTTTCCAATCTGAGCAAAACTTTAGAGCATATTAATTTTACGAGTATTTAGTCTTGTACCTGCAGCAAAACTTTAGTGACATTTTTTCAGTCTACCTTCCCTCATTTTATCGCCTATTGAAGCCACACCAAACTTTGCTTTCAATTGCCCATCTGAACCTATTGATTCCATGGGTGTTCATGTGCCTATGGCAAAACTTTAGAGTAACATTTTTCCAATCTAAGGGCTGCTTTTCAGGGCACAATAATTTGATAGCAAACATCTACTTTCAGAGATCCACTCATATTTATGCAAAAAAAAAAACTGGTTCAGAAGATTATTTATGTCTTGTTTGGAAGATTTTAGTTATGAGTTTGATGTTTTTACATAGCATGATGAATGCCAAACTATATGAGGATACTAGTATAGTTATTTCCACCAAGTTACACAAGAATATTACATCTAACCCTTTAAGACAATATGTCGAGGGAGAAGATACATGGGCCTCACTAATAAGACTTCAATACTGAACCCTATTGATGATAAATTTAGATGAACCGATGCAATTTTTCTTTTCTACGGAATAAGGAGTTGTGTCAAGAAGGTTATCTACTAGTCCAATGTTGTTAAACTTCTTCATCACCTAGAGCAAGGGGAAAGTAATATATCATAGAACAAACAGTGTGCAAGAGTACTAGAACACACTCCCCCTGATCTAGAATTGATCTAGAATATGTGAGTGGCATACATGGTACACATTCATATTGCACTATTGATAACCAAATCAAAGCAACCAAATTCTTACCATGTTCACGCTAAAATATAATTGGTAGCTATGAGTATTTGGGAATTGAGTTCAAGTCATCTTCTAATGGAGGACACAAAAACAAGAAAATCATGTGCCTCAACCATGATTTGAAGATCATGGACTCTACATTTGAGTTAAACATGAAGCTCACTCATCAAGATGTGTTTGCCTAGGGCAACAATCTATGGTTTAAACGTGGACAGTCTATGTAATAGTATGCACAGTTTCTCCAGTTCACCAATCATTACATTTAGCAACCTAGTGACTAAAGGTCCCCTAAGTTGCCAGCCACTTATCTAAAAGGTTCATGGACTCAGCCGAGTCAGTCAAATATTCGGATGAATCTATACAAAAAGATAATAAAATATTAGGAACAATCCAAACTCGGCCAGTTCAAATGTATTTGGTTCCAGGCTTAGCAGGGTGCCAAGCTTGGGTGATTTGGGTCAGCCTTGAGTGGGATTTGCCTGAGTTTCTACAAAGATCACATACAATCAAAGCTGTTGATGAGCGGAGTAATTACTAAAGCACATTTCTCCATCATATGCAAATATTTTCTGGCCAGAACTGTCAATTAACTGCACATATCCTTAGTTTTGTGAAAACTTGTTCAATAAATATATGATGTTCAACCGCCATCAATCCTTAGTCAACAAATTACCATTTGTTCATATTAATGTTTTGGAAATCACCTCTCAACCATCTTGTGTACAACTCTAGAAAAGGAGGAAAAGTTAAAAAAGAAAATGAAAATAAAAAATCTTTAACAATAATAATACAATAAGAAAAAAATACTATAGGTAATAAAAGTCATAGGAGACTAAAAAGATGAAACACAAAATCTATAAAAGACGGTTATTGAAAAACTTGATCTAGAACTTGAATATTTTAGAAAAATTTGGAAAAGGCAAAAGATATGAAAGTTCTCAAATCATCTTAAAGACTGTCAATATCATCTAAAAACTTGATTCTAACTAATAGAGTAGTGTTTTCCAATTTTTTTGCATTTTTCCTTTATTTATTGGGAGGGGTACTTGCCGTGGCCTTCGCACCAACTCAGCCTTGACCAAGTTACTCGGCAGAAGCCCATAACAATGGTTGATATCTAGGATTGAGTTCTTAGAGGAATAATCCAAATATTTGGGAATTGGCCCCATGTGAAGAATTTTTTGTTTTTTTTTTGCAGTACTTTCATATCTGTAAATTTGTCCCAAATTAAGAAGTATTAACCCCAATTGGTTTCAGTGCTGAGAATTACTAAAGGACCTTAAATTTCGGATAAGGAACTTCGAACCTTGCATTTGTAATGTACAAGAGGTTATTCCATTTCCATCTTTTGAAATAAAAGCATCCATGACACCACGAACATTCACAACACTAATATTATATCCATTTGAGCCAACGAAAAATTCATGGCCAGTTGAAGAGAATTTCATAAACAATCCATGAACCATTTGCTGGTGTGTCGTGCATAAAACCACATTACAGCTTTAGTATTCTTTGCACATTGGATCAGGAAAAACCATTAATATCAGTTGAACATAAATCATCGATTCATCATTAGTTCATTTACCGTACTTCTCTCCACCACAAGACTCTAAACTAATTTAAAAAGTGTATGCTTCTTGATTTCAAGCAGCTCCAAACTATTTAAAACAGGTTGAAACATCCAAACAATTCAAAAAATGGCTAAAATCTACCATGTAACCTACTTCACAAACTCCGCAGAGCATAAAAAAATGCTTATAAGAAAATAATGAATGAACAAAGAAAAAACCTGTTTGATGACAAAGGAACCCCCTTGATCCCCAACAACTATGTAGACGAAGTTGAGGTTGCCATCGCCAACTTCCTTCACACTCAGCCCTTCATGGAGCCTGTGGCCAAGAAGAGAAGAGAGAGAAGGAGTCGACTCAATGTACCGAACAAGAGACTTCTCATCCAAAGCGTGAAACCCCATCGCTCTCTCTTTTCCTTCTTCTTCACCAGTGATCTGATTTTTATTTGACAGAGAAAACATTTTCTTCCCAGTCAAGAGAGAAGAGTTCGAAAAAAAAAAAAGAAAAAAAAACAAGAAGCGCGTATCACGCCGCCGCTTTCGACGGTTGAGTAGAGAGAGACAGCGTGATCGGATAGGGCCCACCCCCCTCTTATACGAGAAAAGAAAGGATGAACCTGGACACTCGTCTTCACTGTATTGGGATTCTTTGGTTGAAAGTTCAAATGAGTGGACTAAATAATCAATGTGGATCCATGGTAGCCGACGCTCCAAACAATCAAATTAGAGGGCACCTCGAAAATTTCACTAGAAGAAATTGTTTTTGTATATTCAAATATCTTCAAAATGATATTAATCATGTCGACATCAAGATGCATAGCCATGAAAAAAAAAAAAATTTGAAGTTTTAAAAATAATGCATCTTATAATATATTTTTTCATAGTCAATTTTCAAGATTTTCAAGTTTTTATAGATCTACTCAATATATACTATTTTTTAAGCTTTAAATTTTATAATTAGACATGAAAATATAGTTTAAGGCGATTACAAAGATTTTTAGTATTGAAACCACATTTCTCATGTCTATTTGAAGGTGTTCTCTATTTTGATTGTTTAGAGCTTCGGCTCTATACAAAATGTGAATCAATTGATGCGGTGTGACCTTACCACTTGGGTCGTATCATGGTTCGCAATGCTTCAACTACTCAAGGACCATTCGTTCATTGATTTGAAGATGTGATACTTATGTATAGATTTACTACAACCAATGTTTAAAAAATCTGTGACTCGATTCATTAGATGATATTATAAGATATTTTAGATTTGTTTTTACTTATTATTTATATAGTAAAATAATTATAAAAATGTAAACCAATAATTTCAATTTTAGTATATAATTTTATAATTAGTTAGGTAGTAATAATTTTGGATTAATAAAAACAAATATTTGTTACTTTGATATGATACTAATTTCATTTTATATGAGTAATTAATTTTTTTAATCTGATAATATGAAAGTGTTTTCTAATATTTTTAAATTATTTTGATGCAATATTATAATACTAAATTATGATTAATTATACAAACACCCAGACATGAAAATAATGTTTCCGTAGTTTTAATAAAGTAATTAAAGTGCATAGTGCATCACTCCTAAATTCTTTTAGAAACTAAAAGAGCACTAGAGATTTATAGTGATTTTTTAAAAAAAAAATTGAGATAAAAATTGCCGATTCCATTGATTCTCCGATCTAATACACCAATTCTCCGATCCGAGACAAGTATGGATGTGACCGATTCAAGCTACCGATCCATTTTTTAAACCTCGACTACAATTAAATGATGTTGTGATATCTTTTGTCTCAATACTGGCTAGGACTTCTCGTTTCTTTGCCAAAATATAAGGTAGCTTGTTACGTTAGTGATTTAAAATCACCTTCCCCCTCCCTCCCCAGCAAATGGGTTTTTTGTCATTCACTCATGGTGAAAAATCACTTTCGGTAGAGGTTTTATGAGTTATTTTGTATAGAAAGTACAAATCTTATGAGCGAGACTCTTACTAAGGTTAAGATTGGGGTTTAGGACAAAATCCTAACTACCATTATGCCTTAGACATAACCAGAGTGTTAGAGTTGACAATTGAGGTTATTTCGAGAGTAACTTTGTGTTAGTGGAGAAAGAAAATTGGTAATGGTTTACCTATTGCGAGCTATTTATTTGCTTAATCTTGTAGTTCTTCGATAATGATAAATCGTTTTCCTTTCGGCTGCATGTGGATATTCCCTGATTAATGTGAATCACGTATATTTGTATTTTTGTGGTGATTGGATTATTGTTTGTAATGTGTTATAATTTTATAGTTCCCTATTTTTTATTGTCCTAGTTTATTTTTTTTTTTAAATTTTGGAAAATTATCACAAATATACCTTAATTTGCGTCTATTTAGAAAAAAACCTTTAACTTTCATAAACCTTGCCCACACCCTTTTACTTCAATTTTGGGCTTTTTGCTACCAAAATAACTTTTACAGCAGTCGTATTACCGTGAAGCACAATTACGGTACTTAAAGTACGTAAAAACTAAAATGTTATACGGCATTTTAAGTACCATAAAAATTAACTCATGTTATACGGCATTTTAAGTACCGTAAAAACTAACCCATGTAATACAGCATTTTAAGTACCGTAAAAACTAACCCATGTTATACGGCACTCGAAATGCCGTAAACTCTTTTCTACTGTTTATATTTATTTCTTTCATCATGTTTATATTTATCTCTTTCATCTCTCTAATTCTTTTTACGTTTATCTCTTCTTTCTCTCTCTAATTCTTTTTAATATTTATCTCTTCTGTCTTTCTCTAATTCTTTTTAATATTTGTCTGTTCTTTCTCTCTCTAAATCTTTTATCTCTCTAACTCTCTTTCTCTCTCCAAGGAGATTTGTATAACAACGTGTGCGTACCTTACCATCCCCTATAAAAACTCCCTTCTACCCCATCCTCTATGAAAATTAGATGGAGTTAGATTTGTATCGCATTGGAATCGTGTTTGTCGAGTTGATGAAGTAAGTAGAAACAGAAAGAGTGTTAGTGAGAGAAAAGGTTTAGAGAGAAAAGAAGAGATAAAAAATTAGAGAGAGAAATAAGAGATGATTATTAAAAAGAATTAGAGAGAGAAAGAATAAATAAACATAAAAAAAATTAGAGAAATGAAAGAGATAAATATGAACAGGAGAAAAAAGTTTACGACATTTTGAGTGTCGTATAACATGGGTTAGTTTTTATGGTATTTAAAATGCCGTATAACATAGATCAATTTTTAATGTACTTAAAATGCCGTATAACATGGATTAGTTTTTACGGTAATTAAAATGTCATATAACATAGATTAGTTTTTATGATAATTAAAGTACTATAATTGGCTTCACGGTAATACGACTACCTGAAGGTTATTTTTGTCAAAAAATGCTTAAAATTGAAAAAAAAATGTGTGAGTGAGGTTTGTGAAAGTTTAGGGTTTTTTTTCTAAATAAATTTCCCTTAAATTTATGACACCAAAAAATAGTTGTTGTTGGATAAAAGACCGGTCTCAATGTACACTATCCTTGAAAAAATTCACTTAAGCCACGTGGGTGCACATTTCACATTAACATATATAGTCAAATTGCATATATTAAACTTTACACTTTATTATAAGACATGACAAGCATATGAAAACCAACCTTGTCATGCCCTAGTACAATTTTCAATCAAAGACACTATCAGATAGCTTTCGTACAAGACAATTCTACATTTAGTCTAATTTCAACCGCATACACTTGTGAATAAATTACATCAAACACAATAAAAATACATATAGACTCCAATTAAAGCAATCTCCACATTTACAACTTAAAATACAATGCAAAGAAAATGTTATGGACCATGGGAAGCCGATTTTACCTTAGATTGTCTGGGATCACCTCCTCGGGACTTCATACACCCCATACTCAGGTGAGATTTCTCTGGTGTCACAAAAATACACACAAACGTATCCCACCCCCCGGCACACGTGCGTACGAATTATGCCAAAACTCCAAGGATCACGTGAGTTGGACATTTGGCTAAGTACTTGGTACTTATGTGTTACATGAACTTCTTCTTCTGATAACCCCCAGTTTAACATCTTTATTCTTCTCTAACCATGACGTCCTCATAGCATTCCTCAAACTCTCACAACCACAAGCATACATGGGATAAGAATCATGAATCATGTTAACCCTTTAATTTTTAATAATGCTTTAGATGTTTGGGAGCTAGAGAATTTAAATCTTCATGAGGGAATTAATGATGAGGAAGAAACAAATCTTCCTTCCTCTGAGCTTGATGAAAACTTCTCTAATGATCTGACTTATGATCACCCTCTCTTCCCCTTATGTTTCTTGAATAATAAACCCTAGTTTTGAAGATGAAGTTTATGAGATTGAATCATTCATCACCATTCAAGCTATCAGTCTTTTCAATGTCAAAGATTTGCTTCTCTATATATTCAAGACCATTGAATGCCTTAAGGCATAGTTTGATCAGAAAGATTATGGAATACTAGAAAAAAATAGGAAGCTCATCAACAAAGACCAGGAAATCTCCTAGCTTCACATGAACCTACTGTTTGCCAATACGTGAAGAAGCTCGTGAAGGAGCAGTCTCTACCCTAGACTTACTTTATTCATTTGGTTTTCTTCTTTTCTTGCTATGTCCTACACAACCATTCTAGTGCAGAGGAAATAAATTTTTTTTTTTTCTTTTCCTTGTTATTATTATTTTTTTACTCAACTTCTTCATGATGCTTATGATAAATAAATATCACTTTTTAGGTCATATAGCTTTCTTTTGATTATTCACAGCATGTTTGCCGTCACCTAAAGTCGAATTGATTATTCATCACATGTTTGCAGTCACCTAAAGTCGAATGCATAAATAGACACACAAATACCTTAAGGAGAATTCAAACAACACTCTCAAGGGTATATCCGTGTGCAAAGATTTATTTTATTCTTGGTTTATAAGTTTCAAGGAGTGAAAAACCTCTACTTAATGTGTTATAAATGGATCACTAAAGGGCATAAATACTACACAAGATAGGTCCTTCACATACGAAGGGTCTTCTTGCCTAATTTTTACTAATTGAGTGTACAAGCAACAGGTTTCTCAAATATCATGATTCTCTCAATGATTTTCAACTTGTTTATTTATAGGTATCAGGTGGCTCCTTCGTCGGGGCCTAATCTTCTTTGGGGTCCTCGCGCGCAGGGTGAGGAGAAGATCCTCTCTCAAACAACCGTTGAAGCCTCGTGCGCATGACGCGTTGGGTGACACGAACGCACATGCTTTCTCGAATGCGGATAGGCTATCAACAAATAGGAGCTTTTATGACGAGAGAAGATTGGTTCACTCACCTCGTCACTATGGGTTCATAGGACACGTCCGGGTTCCCTGCCCTCTTAGATCAATTATGAAAGCCCTCTGGCTGTTCACCAACGCAGTTTGGCTAGGGACTCTCTTTAGACGTTATTGATTGTCTTCTCCTTCTCACGTTTGAATCTTCAATGGATTTCTCAGTTCT